ATGTTATTATCAGTCAATGTTTTCAGATATAACCTATTAGATTTCTCAAAGATGGGGGCTCTTTGCAGGGTCGCTGATTGCAAGACTACAAATAAACTCCTTTTCAGATTATTTTCCATCCTGCTCCAGGGAGAAACTGAAACACTGTTGAACAGTGGAGCAGAAACATAAGGAGTGTTTGGCCACAGTCTTCCTCGTGTGTGCAATGTTCTATTCTGTTCAGAGAAAAACGGGTTAAAAGAAAAAAAAGAGGAAGATGCTGCAGAATGTGAACATGAGGCTGAGAGAACAGAGAGTTCAACTCAATCAGTCAGTCGATCGATATGTTCAGTCCTGTTCCCTCTCCGGGGATGCAAAAGTGCAGTGATCAGCCTAACAGTAAGGAAACGTGAAATGTGCAAGTAGTGACTAATCTTTCAAAAAATTCAAATATAAAGAGTGAAGGAATTGTACAGTAGTATATTCATTGTGATGGTTGAAAAGACAAACTATAAAAATAACTGCACGTGCATAAAAATGTGTGTATAAATTCAGTGATGCAGGTCTGTACTGGGATGATAAGTTTGAGTTGCCCACACAAGTAAAATCCAGGTACGCTCAGGTACAGAAGTTATAATAGAAAACGATTTGAAATCATTCATGTTCACTGGTTATGATCATGTATTTGTTTATCGTTACTGTGAATGCTCGTCTTTTTAGATCCTTATGAGGCATGTATTTATAACGCACTGCTAAAAAAAATTAACGGATCGATTTATTAAATATTCTGAAGCATAATTTTAGTATAAAATAAGTATAAAATTGTACAGATTCAAATCAGTTACTTTTCAAGCAAAGTATTCAATTAACAAAATAATAATAATATAAGAAGGGTCAGATACTTTCACATCAAAGTTAAGATTTTTCATGTTAACTAATATATTTTAAGGAGTGTGCATGGATACTGTACACTAAATTAAAAAACAGTATCATCAAAATATAAAATTAAGCTTTTTATCTATTTAAATGTTGATTTTTCTCTTATAGCTAATGAAAACCAGAAGTCCAGTATTTCAGTTTATCAGAATATTTCATGTAAAGTCTGAAGAAATAAATATTCAAATTCTCAGCCTGGTTCCACGTACACAACCACAATCATGGGGAAGACTGCTGACTTGTGTCCAGATGATGATCAGTGACACCCTCCACAAAGAGGTAAGCTACAGAAGGTTGTTGCTGAAAATGCTGGCTGTTTACAGAGTGCTGTATCGATGTAAGCATGTGGAAAGTTGACTGAAAGGGAGAGGTGTGGTAGGACAAGGAACAGGGCTAAGTGCAGCCTCAAGACGACCGTTGAGAAAAGTTTATTCAAGCTTGGGAGCGTTTCACAGGAAACGGGGCTGGCGTCAAAGCATTAAGAAACATTGACAAACATCTGGACTGTTTCTCAGTGGTCCAATATCCTCTTTTCAGATGAAAGCAAAATTTTAATTTTAATTTGGGAAATTAAAGTCTGGAAGAAGAGCGGAGAGGCACAAATTCTAAGTTGACTGTGATGATTTGGGGTGTGAACTGTTGGAGTAGGTGGTCGTGGTTTTATCAAGTCCACTGTCAACACAGCTGCTTACAAGGTTTTTAGATTTTAGACCACTACATGCTTCCATCAACTGAAAATCTTTTTGCAGTCCTGTCCAGCAGTGTACAGGGTTCTGGTCAGGTGGAGGAGGGAAAAATATTTTCTTGCTAACAAGTTGGCCAGAATATTTAAATAGGGACAGGAACAAGTGTAATGGTAACAGGAGAACTGTAAAGAATACAGCATGAAAAGATGGTGGCTGCATTGGACACATTTCATTGTTTTAAACACTCTGTTTCACTTCAGCTCATTTTATGTAATAACTTTCTGTTTTCATGACAACAAACTGATGGGCCAAAGCAGCGCAAGATAGAGTCCGGTTGTACACTGCCTCTATCACTGCAGGCAGACGGTCAGTCCCAGACTGGAGGAGACAGCGAACGTGCTACCTCTGCTCGACCGTAAAATCAGATTTATGGAAAAACCCATTCCTTTCTAGCAGGACTTAGCATCTAACAAAAGGGCCAGTACTACTACTAAACAGCTTCCTGACCATGCTAGTGCTATGGTTGATTTGCCGTAACAACTGACCTGACCTGAACAAGTGAACGATGACGAACACCCAACCCAAAAAAACAGTCGCAGATCAGATCAGTCAGGACTTTAATAAATCAGCAGTGCCACAAGCTGAACTCCTCCCTGCCACACATTACTGATGCAGTAATTCCTACTGAAAGAAGTACTAATAACACTAGTATAAATGGGGTTATTGTGGGATCTTTACAGTATAAAGTACCTTGAGACAACTGCTGTTGTGATTTGGCGCTCTATAAATAACACTGAAAAAACTGAAAACGTAAAAATTAAAAATGCCTTTCATAAGTTGGACATATATGTATTTAATGCAAGAATATATATAAATGTTTGAATTAATTTATGAATAAATTCCCTCTGTATTAAATGCAAGTACATATTTAAGTTGGGTACCAAATCAGACTCACATAGAAAAGTCAACATTTCCTGACTGAAAACTTGAATATTAAAACAATCTACCATGTCAACCAAAATTCATGGATTTTCTCACTTTCAGAAACGGTGCTTTGCATTTTGTATCTCAGTCAGTCTTACTCACCATGACCAAAACCGGTTCATTCAATCTCCCATAACAACACAGCCAGTCATTAATGTAAAGAGTGGTAATAGATAATAAACATTTGGTAAAGGCACAAATGCACCTAATACAAATAATCATAATTATAAACCATATAATAGAACCATATAATACCAAGAAAAAAATAATACTGATTTTCTTCTGGGATCACCACTTCCCTTCCCACAATGTTAGTTCTGAGGCTGTGAGAAGTAATAGTTCATTCGGCTCAAGTCGGGTCAAGTCTAACCTACCCATCATGGGCTTTTAAGCAAAGGAGCCGAACAGAAAGAAAAAAACAACCCCGAGAGAAAAATAAAAGCAAAACACTCAACCGCAGTTTCAACGCATCAAACAATTAGAAAAACTGTGTATCAGATTTTTTTTTACAAAAACATGAAGCATTGCATTGTGTAGGTCAAAATAATAATTAGCGGTTGCTCAAAGTAAATAGAGTGAGTACACTTGATGCTTGTGGTGTTAATGCATTTTCAGCAGGTTGTAACGTGTTATCTGGACACATTCTAATTTAACCCTGCGTGATATGTTTGTTTTGCGGCTGAACCGCTGCATTCAGAAAGAAAGATCAGACGAAAGGTGCTCCTCGTCCATGAGGTCCCCGTCTCTGAAAGCTGCGCTAATGGCCGCTTTTAACGCAACCTAAGTGACCCTTAAAAGTGTGGGAGATGTTAAAGTGGAATAAATGGCTCCATAAAAGCCAGCCAGGATGTTTTGTCATCCTTCATGAAAAATATCTGTGCAAAACATGTATTTTTCTTTGTCACTTTTTGTCAGGCACATATGAGACCAAAACCCCATACTTTATTTCAACGCTTTCAAACAGCTATCCAACCTATGACTCGGAGATATCAATTTAAGCCTGGCTGGACTGAATCTCTTTTCCATTTTGCATAAAATTGACAGCCATCTGGGGAAGCCTTGGAAAATTGCCTTGCGCTGAATAAGTGATGAAGAGATGAGTCTACTGTCAGTTGTAATAATGTGGCTGCTTTAAATTCATTGGCACCATTGCGGAACATAATTACAGTAACGGGGGGATGCCATGTCTCTGGTCTGCATCGTGTAATGCAAACCAAGCTTAGAGTGTTTTCAAAAGTGGTGTGTCTCATTTTGGCTGCACTGCTATCGTATTAGTATCTCTTCAAGAAACACGCAGGCTGTCAACAGCTATTCACAAGAAGCGGAGGACACAATGAACTAAAGGGGTTAAAAATCCATTGTGCAAAGAAAGCACTAGCTTTAGGTTAAAAGAAGTAGTTCAGCTTAAGGACAAGAACTGCATGCTCTTGCATGATGAGCTAATTCAAAAGTTAAGCTAAAATATAAGAAAAACTGCAGTTCTTCTAATAAACACCTGCGATTGCCTCCAAAAGTAATTCAGTTCCCATGTTAATGACCTCAGCTTTAATATCAATAAACGTTTAGAGGCAAATGCAAAAACCATTTTGGCCAATGGTTATAGTTTTGTTGTTGTGCTGTTGTTGTAAATGGTCGTGTGTCTCTGGCACAGGCTAAAAACAGGGAGCTGCCCTATAGCAGCTGGGATATACGGAAGTGCAGAGCTGCCATTGTTAGAACAATAAAGTTTTCATGTTATAACATGAAATACTATTTTTCTTTTGCCTGGGTGGCAGCTCTACGTTTCCGTAGGGATAGGCTCCAGCTCCCAGTGACATCAAATTGGATAAGTGGAGGAAAATGGATGGGTGTCCATCAATTCTATTCTTGATAGACATCAATATGCTATGATGAGCACAAACAAAAGCACCATTGAGCACAAGCATATCTACTTAGCAGGGAAAGTCAGATTATAAATCTTCTAGCTGAGACGTCCAAAAATCTTAAAATGCAGGACTGAGCTGGATAAGCTGAGTTTGAGAAAAACGTCATATTTTAGATCAGTTTAGATCCTTAAGACAAGCTTAGCTTTTCCCCACTATTGGCTGTGCATAGTGTAAGAAAGGTAATTCTCATTCTGGTCTCACTGCTGCCAACAGGGCTAAGGAGTTTTGGTCTTGTATAAATCTAAAGTAACCTACTAATTTACCTCATGGT